CGGCAGCCTAGCCTGGTCCCGGTAACTATCATCTTACTCTCGGCTAGACGTTTTGTATTGACCGGGAGCGTTCAATACAATATTATTGAGAGGTGTATTGTATTGACCCCTGCAGTTACCCCACGGGGGAGTACCTCCCGTTATCCCCCATGACCTGGCGGCCAGCGTCCAGGAACACAAAGTCTTTGGGTTCCTGGGTTTGGGTTCACCACTATGGCGCAGTCTGCTGGAAAGTTTTTTTTTTTTTTTATTAAGATATGAGGTACATCTGCATTAGTGCAGCTACTGGTGGAAAGTGAAGGCGGCGGCCCCACAAACTCTACGGACATCTCCCATCGCGTTTCACTGTCTCATGTACTGTCAAAGTTTGTCAATGTCCGAGTAGACAGGAGCGCCGACTGCTTCACCAGCCAACGCTTCTTCAAGCACAGTTTTTAAGCCCAGTTTTTCACTTGAAAAAACGCGTTTTTCCTCCCAGAATTAGACTTCTGACGTTTGACGTCATTTGATTACTAATTACGCGTTTCGCGAAATTCGTCAGATTCGTTATTATGTGCAAAAAATTGCAACAGCTATTCTTGCATGTCATACAGCGAAAGAGTTTGACACGTCGTACGGATTTTTTTTTGTGCGGTTGCAACGAGCACTTAGGCGAGTCCTGAGAGGCCGTGATGAATCCTTAACGTGTCCCCGACCTGTCGTGGCTGCCTGGCGGGCGCTGAGACATTCTCCCGGTGTAGGAATGTGTCCAGCAGGGCCCTGGGGAATGTGTCCAGCAGGGCCCTGGGGAATGTGTCCAGCAGGGCCCTGGGGAATGTGTCCAGCAGGGCCCTGGGGAATGTGTCCTGCAGGGCCCTGGGGAATGTGTCCTGCAGGGTCCTGGGGAATGTGTCCAGCAGGGCCCTGGGGAATGTGTCCAGCAGGGCCCTGGGGAATGTGTCCAGCAGGGCCCTGGGGAATGTGTCCAGCAGGGCCCTGGGGAATGTGTCCAGCAGGGCCCTGGGGAATGTGTCCAGCAGGGCCCTGGGGAATGTGTCCTGCAGGGCCCTGGGGAATGTTGATTTATCCCACGGGGCTCCCGGTGGGTTGTGACGCCTCCCCTTACCTTGAGATTACCTTGAGGTTACCTTGAGGTGATTCCGGGGCTCAGCGACCCCGCGGCCTGGTCGTCGACCAGGCCGCCTCGTTGCTGTGACCAGGAGCATCCTGATATCTGGTGTTATGGTAGGCTGCTGTGATTGATATCTGGTGTTGTGGTAGGCTGTTGTGATTGATATCTGGTGTTATGGTAGGCTGTTGTGATTGATATCTGGTGTTGTGGTAGGCTGTTGTGATTGATATCTGGTGTTATGGTAGGCTGTTGTGATTGATATCTGGTGTTGTGGTAGGCTGCTGTGATTGATATCTGGTGTTGTGGTAGGCTGTTGTGATTGATATCTGGTGTTGTGGTAGGCTATTGTGAGTGATATCTGGTGTTGTGGTAGGCTGTTGTGATTGATATCTGGTGTTGTGGTAGGCTGCTGTGATTGATATCTGGTGTTGTGGTAGGCTGCTGTGATTGATATCTGGTGTTGTGGTAGGCTATTGTGAGTGATATCTGGTGTTGTGGTAGGCTGTTGTGATTGATATCTGGTGTTGTGGTAGGCTGTTGTGATTGATATCTGGTGTTGTGGTAGGCTGTTGTGATTGATATCTGGTGTTGTGGTAGGCTATTGTGAGTGATATCTGTACTCTAGTTTGTAACTTCCGGCCATCACTCACCCACCACTTCCTCTTACAGTTTTGCCTCCTCCTCCTCCTCCTCCTCCCTGAAGCCCTGTATGCTAATTGTGCTACATGTATACTCTAAGAGGGAGCCAAGATTGTGCATGTGTTCTGAATACACTCTGCGACACGCTGAGAGAGAGAGAGAGAGGCCAAGGGTACTGCTGTTGGCACTCTTGCTCTCTCTCTCTCTTTTCAACTACTTTCACTTCTCTCCATAAACATTCGAGTACCACAGCGGACACACGTAGAGCGACACAGCGCTATGCTCGCTCTGAGCGATACACAGAGGAGGTATTCCCAGCTCAGTTCCAGCTGCTCGTAAAGTCTCGAACCAGGAGAGGCTCAGGGTAATGTAGGCACCATCTTCCGAGGTCGCAGTCGCCCGCTAGAACCAGTTCTCCCGCGACAAAAATAAGTGGGATAAAATTTGAGGTTGTCGGCTCGGGTTTTGTTTGGATTGAATGTTTCTGCACAACTTTGGGTTGAGAATTTCTGCGTAGGAATTGTTTTTAGGGTTCCTATAAGAACTGGGTTATTTATTGCTGTACGATATAGTCGTAGCTTTTCATGTACGAAATTAGGCTAAAGATTAATATATGAAATAATGTAGAGGTTATAGGAAATAGGTTTACGCTTACTATAGGATAGGCCAAAAATTAGGCTTCATATAGGGGAAAGATAACTGGTCACTTTAGATTAACTATTATTGTTCTCGGTTGTGTAACCAATTACAGTATGGGCTGCCCCCCCCCCCCCACTCAAGGGTGGATTGTTCGTCCCAGGACGGTAATGTTGAGGGCGTCCCAGCTGGTCCCAGGACGCTTGACGTGGTCCACCACCCACACAATAGCAGTGTGTATCGCTGCTTTAACACAAAAGCCTTCCTGTTAACAATGGAGTTAGCCACGCTCTATATTTCCGGGGAAAATATTGCAAATGTTGCAAATTCTTATTCCCTTCCTCTTCCTACTCCTCCTCCTTCTCTCCCTCTTCCTTTTGATCTGGCCTCCTGCTCCCTCCACCTAGCTTCATTACATTTACTTGAGTTAAACTCTAGTAGCCATTTCCTGGACCATACTTTGTCTCGGTCATCTTGTAGCCTCATGCTATCTTCCTCTGTCTCAATCCTCCTCATAATTTTCGCATCATCAGCAAACATTGAGAGGAATGAGTCTATCCCTCTGGAAAATCCTTGACGTGTACGGGAAACAGGATAGTTCCAAGAAATGAACTATCCTGCAGGCCGTTGGTGGCCTGACCAACGTAATTTCCCTTCGCCGTTCCCAGAGGCCAAAGATGGGCAAAATGTCCGCCCAGTCGACTGGCCAAAGTGCTTTTGAGAAATGCATTACTGGTCCATTTGAGTTGATCATAAGGCTCTCTCTCTCTCTCTCTCTCTCTCTCTCTCTATCTCTCTCTCTCTCTCTCTCTCTCTCTCTCTCTCTCTCTCTCTCTCTCTCTCTCTCTCTCTCTCTCTCTCTCTCTCTCTCTCTCTCTCTCTCTCTCTCTCCCTTCTCCCTCTCTCCCTTCTCCCTCTCTTTATTATTACCTGCTTTGTCTTGCTCCCTCTTCACAACTCTCTACCTTGTGTGGCGCCTGGTCCATGCCCCTTTGATCACTGCTCTACACGTAGAGCACTACTCTACACGTAGAGCACTACTCTACACGTAGAGCACTACTCTACACGTAGAGCACTACTCTACACGTAGAGCACTACTCTACACGTAGAGCACTACTCTACACGTACAGCACTACTCTACACGTACAGCACTACTCTACACGTACAGCACTACTCTACACGTAGAGCACTACTCTACACGTACAGCACTACTCTACACGTAGAGCACTACTCTACACGTAGAGCACTACTCTACACGTAGAGCACTACTCTACACGTAGAGCACTACTCTACACGTAGAGCACTACTCTACACGTAGAGCACTACTCTACACGTAGAGCACTACTCTACAAGTAGAGCAGTGCTAGATGTATCCTCGTACTGCTTCTCAGCTGATAAACGTAAACAAAGCCACCATGATTGAAAAAGATGAACAGATTTCGTCAATGGTTGGGTAAAGGCCTGATAAACCCTGGTTCACCTGGTCTGTGAAGGCCACTGGCTAATGACCTCAAGGCCGCCCCAGGTGAAGCCATAATTGGGGTAATTAACTTTGCTGATAATGTAATTTGAATATTTTCTTTCTAGCCCCCAAAAAATGACGGGTTGTAAATAGCGGTTTGTGATAGGGGTTAATTAGGGTGATGGAGTATTGTGTGGTGGTTTGTTAGCGTTATGGAGCATTACTGTGGTGGTTTGTTAGCGTTATGGAGCATTAGTGTGGTGGTTTGTTAGCGTGATGGAGCATTAGTGTGGTGGTTTGTTAGCGTGATGGAGCATTAGTGTGGTGGTTTGTTAGCGTGATGGAGCATTAGTGTGGTGGTTTGTTAGCGTGATGGAGCATTAGTGTGGTGGTTTGTTAGCGTGATGGAGCATTAGTGTGGTGGTTTGTTAGCGTGATGGAGCATTAGTGTGGTGGTTTGTTAACTACCACGTCCCGTATATTATCTTTCGTTCCAGTATGTTGTTATTCTACTGTGCAAATTTGAGACCTGGCCCTCCAGTATCTCCCATGTGTATATTATTTGATACCTTTCTCGTCTCCTTTCCAGAGAGTACATTTTGAGAGCTTTGAGACGGTCCCAATAGTTCAGATGTTTTATCGTGTCTATGCGTGCCGTGTATGTTCTCTGTATTCCCTCTATTTCAGAGATCTCTCCTGCTCTGAAAGGGGGAAGCGAGTACTGAGCAGTACTCAAGACGGGACAACACCAGTGATATAAATAGTATTAGCACTTCTGTGGGGTCTCTGGATTTGGACGGTCTTATAATCCATCCTATCATTTCCTGGCCGCCGCTATATTTGCTCGGTTATGTTCACTAAATGTCAGGTCGTCAGACATGATAATTCCTGTACGTACACTACACCCTTGTACACAATACACCCCTGTACACCCTACACCCTTGTATACACTACACCCTTGTACCTATATGATTAATCCATAATTAGCACAAATTCGCAGGAAGTGTCGTATACAAATGCATATAATTTTAAATATACTTTAACGTTCATAACATTGTCTTATGTATACAGATTAATACATTGATGACTGTTGAGTCCCAGTGTGAGTTAAGAGCCACATCATTAACGTGTGATATTTTTCCACCCTTACAGAGTGGTTTGTGCGCGTCTGGAGACGTCATTGATGGGCGCGGAGGTCCTCGCATCACCCACCTCACTGGGGGCGTGGGCCAGGCTGTGGTGGACGACGAACCCCGCTTCCCACGCCTCGACCAGTGCGCCCACTTCCACTACGAGTACGTGGAGCTCCCGCCCCTGCAGGTGAGTCCTTCTGCCACAGGCCAGACCCACAGGTGGCAGGAATTGTGATTAGAAAGAGGGGACAAAGGCAAATTAAAATGAATAGGGGAACTAGAGAGAGAGAGAGAGAGAGAGAGAGAGAGAGAGAGAGAGAGAGAGAGAGAGAGAGAGAGAGAGAGAGAGAGAGAGAGAGAGAGAGAGACACTCCTAATTGTTATATAAAGCTAATATTCTCATGCTGCCCCACTTGGCTCAACTTTATGGAGAGTCGGAAGAGCAGTTATAACACAAGGCGCTCAGCCGTCAGCAGCAGCAGCAGCAGCAGCAGCAGCAGCAGCACCTGCAGCAGCAGCAGCAGCAGCAGCAGCACCTGCAGCAGCATGCCAGCGGTGTCATTCTCGACAACATTACTCCATCAGCGATCATTGTCATTCCTGGGAGGAAGAGGAGGAGCATTTGGACCCGTGTTCCGTCAGTAGGAAATTAAGTCATGCAACAACATGAAGGCTCTGGCACACATACACACACACTCACGGCTCCTGCTTCAACATGTTATTAACATGAGTTTACTTTAAAGATTATTCCTAATGGAGTGAGTGTGAGAGTAAGAGTGGTAGTGAGTGAGTGAGTGAGAGTAAGGAAGAGTAATGAATGTGGCTGGTGGTGACAAGGGCCCCTCACACCCTCTCTCACAGATAGTGTCTACCTGATCGATACCCGGCCAATCTGCGCCCACCTGCATCCACTCACCCTGTCCCTCACCCTGCCCCTCACCCTGCCCCTCACCCTGCCCCTCACCCTGCCACTCACCCTGCCCCTCACCCTGCCTCCTTCACCCTGGCGTCGTCCAGGTAGTGTCCAGGTGTCGTAGCCTGGTAGACAGTATGGTCTTCACACATTGAGGGGCTCAAGCAGAGGCTCTCCGGTTAAAGATTGGAATTCTGAAAAATCAGTGTGTTAAATTTTTCGCTTAAAGCCGATATGGGAGCACATCTGTTTGGCTCTGTTTACCTGTCACACACACAGGTGGCTCTGTTTACCTGTCACACACACAGGTGGCTCTGTTTACCTGTCACCCACAGGTGGCTCTGTTTACCTGTCACCCACAGGTGGCGCTGTGTTCCTGTCACCCACAGGTGGCGCTGTGTTCCTGTCACACACACAGGTGGCGCTGTGTTCCTGTCACCCACAGGTGGCTCTGTTTACCTGTCACACACAGGTGGCGCTGTGTTCCTGTCACCCACAGGTGGCGCTGTGTTCCTGTCACCCACAGGTGGCGCTGTCTTCCTGTCACCCACAGGTGGCGCTGTGTTCCTGTCACCCACAGGTGGCGCTGTCTTCCTGTCACCCACAGGTGGCGCTGTGTTCCTGTCACCCACAGGTGGCGCTGTGTTCCTGTCACCCACAGGTGGCGCTGTGTTCCTGTCACCCACAGGTGGCGCTGTCTTCCTGTCACCCACAGGTGGCGCTGTCTTCCTGTCACCCACAGGTGGCGCTGTGTTCCTGTCACACACAGGTGGCGCTGTGTTCCTGTCACCCACAGGTGGCGCTGTCTTCCTGTCACCCACAGGTGGCGCTGTCTTCCTGTCACCCACAGGTGGCGCTGTGTTCCTGTCACCCACAGGTGGCGCTGTGTTCCTGTCACCCACAGGTGGCGCTGTGTTCCTGTCACCCACAGGTGGCGCTGTGTTCCTGTCACCCACAGGTGGCGCTGTGTTCCTGTCACCCACAGGTGGCGCTGTGTTCCTGTCACCCACAGGTGGCGCTGTGTTCCTGTCACCCACAGGTGGCGCTGTGTTCCTGTCACCCACAGGTGGCGCTGTGTTCCTGTCACCCACAGGTGGCGCTGTGTTCCTGTCACCCACAGGTGGCTCTGTGTTCCTCCCACTTACATTCTTATAAGAATTTAAGAACTCTTATATATATATATATAAATAAAAAAACATAACTCCTATTTGGAAAAAACATTAAGTTTCGCAGAGTTTCTCCTGAGATTGCTGTCGCATTTTCTATGATTATGTGCTCAAAGAAAACTACTTTTAGGGGTGGCTATTATTAATTATTTTACGTTATAATTCACTGTGTTGGGAGATAGGAAGAGAAAGGTATTCATACACGTTAGGCTTTTATTTTTTATTTGTTAACTTGAATTGGTTACTGATAAATTAATTATGTTTTGCCACCACGAGACGTGGTAATTCCGTCCGTCGGAGGGGGACAGGAAGCCAGTGTCAAGGCTTGTCAAGGTCGCCATTGGCCAGTGGTTCCATGCTCTCTCAGTCTCGGGCCCAGTTTCCCAACCACGTTCTCACCTGTGGGACCCAAACACGGCCTATGCTCTCGTGGCATAGGCCGTGTAGCTCAGGATGTAGGCTTATACATTCGTGACATAGGCCGTGGTAATTCGCCAGTCTGGCCTAGTCCCCCCCTACCTGCCTCACCGTCGCGGCCCTCCCTCGTTAGGGCACTTAAAACTGGCTAAGAAACTTGGTGAAGAAACTTGACGAAGATACCGGCAAACTTCTCAAGACAGTACTGGAAGTTGGCGTCACCTGACCTAACTTGTGACGGGCGCCAAACGAGGCGTCGAGCACCCATCAGCCCCTCGAGTGAAAGTTACACTCGTCGACAGAGGGCGCTAGAGGGGGTTATGTCCGAGGGGTCATAACGAGGGGACACTGGTATTGAAGAAGGTAGGACTATGGTATCACATGGGGGAGGAACAAGACGGGTGCCAAGAAGGTCTTGTCGTCTTGGGAAAGTTATCAGAAAGCGACATTGGAAGATCTGAGTCACTAACTTTTACCCTCTTAATATCAGAAAACCTAGATACATTTCACTTTTTCTTTGTGTACCTGGTGTTGTTTTCAGGGATCAGTGTTCCCCCATGGCCCGGTCTCTGGCCAGGATATCTTTGAAATGACTGTATTTGTCTAATTCTATTTGTGGGGGTTAAACTTCAGCTCTTTGGTCCGGTCTCTCGACCCTCTAGCAAGGCGTGTACAGGTTCGCGAGCCTATTGGGCTCTATGATAAAGTAAGGGGAGTGGAGAGAGAGAGAGAGAGAGAGAGAGAGAGAGAGAGAGAGAGAGAGAGAGAGAGAGAGAGAGAGAGGAGGAGGGAGAGGGAGAGAGAGAGAGAATTGATTGAGGAAAGATCCACCTCTTCGCTAATCTGTTACTTATGTGTCCAGTGAGCTGCATTTTTTATTATTATTAATTAAACCAGAATACTTGATCACTTATTATGTGTCATGTTGATTTTGGTGGATTGCGGTGCATGTGAACAAGTGTTGCTGGTTGATTCTTGGACAGTTATAAGGTGGCGGAGCGTTAAGATCTACCATAGTGACGACTACTTTATTGTGTTCCTTAAAGGTAAGGTGAACTGACATGAGTACACCCAAATCCTTTACATTACTTTTACGTTCTATGTTATGATTTGACTGCGTGTTGTACGAGGCTTCCGTGTTTATATTAAAAAAAAAATCCATATCGCAGGAGCTGGAACTGAACCTCATTAAATACCATATTATTTTCTGTAGCCTATTGAAAGACCTGATTTACATCAGTTGTGAGGTTTGCTGCGTCCTCTATGTTCTCTACTCATAAAAATCCGTGTGTCGTCTGTAAAGGATGATACGGTACTTTAGCTTGTGTCCTCGTCTATGTCCGATATGAGAACGAAGCAAGCACAGAACCCTGGGTAGATGAGAACGAGTACTGGAGCAAGCACAGTACCCTGGGGAGTACTGGTACCCCCCAGGGTACAGGACACAGTAACCTGGGGGGGTGGGTACTGGTACCATCAGCTCTTCATGGCTGAGGGAGGATTGAAATTGTCGGGAGAACAGAGACCTCCACCGGAGATGAGACCACAAAGGAGCGTGTGGATGCTGCAGACACTGGAAGCTGTACGAGCAACTGAGCCATTGAACCATCAGGAGAGCGCTGTGCAGAAGCTTGAGCTTGGCTAGGAACCGTGGAGGGGCAAGACTGAGCACTGGTCTGAAGACTTAAGGGCAGGGAATGTGTAATTTGGGTTTGACGCCCCGCCTGGAATGTCGGGAGAGACTGCTCTAAGGCCTGCAAGCTCTCCGTGGTATGAACCATTATCCCGCCTTATTGTGTGAGCCATCAACAGCTTAGAATTTCCATGGGGTATGGTGTATAGTGGCCCGGGTATGGTGTATAGTGGCCCGGGTATGGTGTATAGTGGCCCGGGTATGGTGTATAGTGGCCCGGGTATGGTGTATAGTGGCCCGGGTATGGTGTATAGTGGCCCGGGTATGGTGTATAGTGGCCCGGGTATGGTGTATAGTGGCCCGGGTATGGTGTATCAGGCTAGGGGGGATTTTGGCCATTTCTCGCAGGGTTTGTTCTGACTTTAGATTGTCCATCTTTGATGTACATTAGCGGAGTAGAGTATGGCACTTACTGAGAGCTGCCTGGCTCATACTATAGCAGGTATTGACAGATTGATTGATTGATGAAGATTAAGCCACCCAGAGGTGGCACGGGCACGAATAACCCGTAAGTATTAACAGGTGTTGGTCGCTGTAATATATGAGGGATTGACATGTGTTGGAAGGTGTAATGTAGGAGGTATTTGATGCAAGGTCCTTCAATTAATAATTTGAGTGCTTCTTCGCTGATTGGCTAGCATACTCGGGTGTTTCACCCAATCGGAGCCCCCGAATTGAGGGATCTCTCGCTGATTGGCTTACATCTCGTAGGAACTCCTCCGACTCGGGCTCCTCAAGTCACTATTAATTGTAAGTGTTCGCAAAGCTCCCGCATCGGTCCCGCCACTTCTCGCAAGACGAGTCTGTTTCTTGACGGCAGCGAGACACTTGTAGAGGGACGCTGTTACCTTACCTTCCCTTGATTTCGGGGACCAACGTCCCCCGCGGTCCGGTCTCTGACCAGGCCTCCTGGTTGATGGTCTGGTCAACCAGGCTGTTGGACCCGACGAGGAGTAGCGTTACCAAATGCCCTCCACCCCCCCCCCCCCTAGTGTGCT